CACCATTTTAAAATTTCAATTTCCATAAAGTTGCATTCCTTCTCTTCCAGATATTGATAAAGTTCTAGCTGACTAGGTTCGGATGCTAGATACTTTCTAAAGGAGTCAAATACTTTATCATTAGTATTGAGTTGTGATGAATAACATTTATCACTAATAGTAGTAATAAATTCTGTTTGACTGGTGCAATTATATGCATATTTATCATAAAGACTCGAAAGAAAATTAGATATCTCACTCAAGTGTTACTTTGCAACAACAGTCTTGTAAATTTTCTCATAGAGGAACTGCACAAATTTAAACTTCAAGTATGGGTGAAGAATTCTCAGCAGTACAGCCCTGTAAATATCTTGAAATTTAAATTTTTGCTGTTTGTCTATGAGAAAATTTGCAAGGTTGTTGTTGCGAAGCAACACTTGAATGAGATATATCTAATTTTCTTATTAGTCTTTGTGTTCCTGTAACAGAATGAGAGATTAAGATTGTTATTGCAAGAGCAAAGGAAGCAGCAGCTTGGAGTAATAATGAAGAAAATAGAATCGAGAGCTTCTGTTCTTCTGAGACAAAAGGATGAAGAGATTGCGAGAGCCGCAAACAGAACAATGGAGCTCCAGAATCTGTTGAAGAAACTGGAGATGGTGAATCAAGCATGGCAGAGGGTTGCACAGGAGAACGAGGCCAATGTTGTTTCTCTCAATAGCACGCTGGAACTGTTGTGGGAAAGTGCTTCCCTCGGCTTCAACAATGGAGCAGAAGATGCAGGGTCTTGCTGCGAAGTGAACAAAGAAGTGACAAAAACAGAGGAGGAAGAAGTACAGGGGAGAAATCCAGAGACAACAATGGTTTGTAAATGCTGCAATTCTCAGAATTCATGTGTTCTGCTTCTTCCGTGCAGACACCTATGTTTGTGCAAAGATTGTGAGCCTTTACTTGATTCATGCCCTGTTTGTAGAACAAGTAAGATGGCCAGCATAGAGGCATTGATTTTCTGGGGAGAATAATTTTCCGAGAAAATTGAAGGTAGTAGTCAAAACTGGAAAAGAAAATCTGATGGTCATTATTATGGTGCATGGCATGAAGTAAAACAAAACTAATGTGCATGGTAATGATTTTTTTTTTTTATTTGTAAGTTTCTTCTACTTTTTAGGTAGTCTGGGTTTTAGATCCACTATGTGTACTTAGAAGTAAAAATAATGAAAAATGAACAGAGGAATTACAGGACAGGGCATCTTTTCCTTTATAGGGGTCATTGCTTCACCCCTTGTATTGGTATATAATCTTGGGAGATTGGACATCTCAGATTTCTCGCCCTTACCACTTCGTCATTTGATAGCAGTAAACAAAACTGTTCGCACGGCACTCGTGAAAAAATGTTTATTTTGATTCTAGCAATATGGTGGGAGATATAGGCTTGTTTGGTGTAGTTTGTTAGAATTTTTGTTTTCTTTGTATCGTTTATGAGTGTTAATTTTAAAATTTTGTGATTTTATTATTTTTTATTGTTTATGAATGATGAGTTTAAATTTTTATTAAAGAAAAAATTTAAAAATTATTTTAAATATAAGAAAAATAAATAAAAAATTATCAAAATTTAAAAATTACTTTTAAGATTTGCTTGATATCAATAGAAGGATGTGAGTCATGTTCTTTCGATATGATAGTTAATATAGAAGTGGTCAAAATTTAAATATTTCTTAATTATAGTGATTAATTAGTCTACTTGATTGATTTGATGAATATATATTTTCTTTTTAATTTATACTTCAAGATGAAAGGGGATATAAATATATTTTATTTATATAATAACATATGCTATAGTACTACAATGAACATTCCGAAGTCCTGATGACACATGTAGATGCCACAATAACAGACCAAAATTTTTAATATGTAATACTACTTGTGTTTTATATTAAAATGTTCATTCAAAGAGTTCATTCTTGATTTGCAGCAACAAGCAATGAGAATTGTGATGAAAAGTTAACGAGTGAGCCAAGAGTTTGGTCAGAAAAGGTTTTATATGGAGTTTTTTATAGAAGTCTTGCTAAAGAGAATTAATCGTAAAAGTCTTGTTTTTTAGAAGT